TGGAGGTATAGTTGAGTCCCTGGGTATGTGAGCCCACATGCGTTTATGTTTGTGTGTGTTTGTGAGTGTGTGTGTCGGGGTTTTTTATGCATGTTTGTGTGTGTACGTGTGTGTGTCAATGTATGTATGTGTGTGTAAGTGTGCAAGGGAACATATCATTGTACACACACACACACACACACACACACACACACACACACACACACACACACACACGCACACACATAAACACACAAATACACACATAATTTACTGTCCAGTACTTTTGATGCGGTTCTGGACTCTTTTTATCTCTGGCCTCAGTCGTATCTTTAGCCTTCTTAAGCCTTCTTAACTCCGCTGTTGTCTCATAGAGCACGCATTCACCTAGATCTACCCCTTTAGGGAACCGATAAATTCTTTTCGGAATTAATTTGATCATTGTATTAACTACTGTACCCTACACAACTATTTTTTAATTGACAAATTTCTGAACAAAACAATGCACTCGGCCATCCTTGGGCAATAATGGTGAAGTAGCCCGCTTCCTAAATGATCTACAATGTGTCAATTGGAGCGAAAAACTTTTCCAATCGAAATTCTGTGTAGAAAAGGAGATCTGTGCTCACTAATTATGGCACCAGAATGACCTTATCCGTGTTAATAACAACGATTAAGAACTACGCTTCAGTATATTCCAAAAAGCAGCTAGATCTATTTTAGTTTTCCGATGACTTTATTTTAATGTTATCTTTTCAAAACTCAATATAGTGGACATTTTACTGACAGTCGTCACTCGTCACTATTCTAATAATACACCAGACTTGCACTGTCAATTTATGTAATGTTATTCCAGAAGATTGAAAAATTGAAGATGTGGGACGTGGGCAGTTCAATAAAAAAAAATCAGAGCAACATAATTTAACTATGTGTGAAGGTCTTTCGTACATTGGTGACTGCACAAAAAGCGCTGCCGCCTGACTCCAACTTCAGTGGTTTCCACGGTACAAGCAACTAAAATACAATTTAGTTTCAGTTTTAATAAGAGTTTTACTGCACTTGCAACACAAGTAGGTCATGGGAAATGTGGAAGAAGAGATGTGTTACAGAATAAAAAGCACCAAAAATAAAGAAAGAGAAGAGATAAGTGCGACAGATGTTTGATTGGTATGAAGGAGCGAACCCCCACTAGAGCACCCGCCATCTACACGCAACTAAAATAGAGTAGTTACACATTATCGGTAAATGTGCTTAAAACGTTTTGTGTAGAAAAAAAAGCAACAACATTTTGCGTGTAACCTTTACATGAACATTCACACGTAGTGCCAGATAAAGAAGTGGTAACTCGTTAGTTTTGTAAAAGTGTTTCCACAAAAACATGTAATTCGTTACATCTCCTCTCCCCACTCTGGCGCTGACTTGGCTATAATCGTATAACCGTCAAGCAAGAGAAACGTCTAGGTATAAGGTCCGCTGAGAATGTAAATCGTCCATTGCCTTTAAGAAAATGTGCTATTTTTCATTCAAATGTTGGCTAAAACCATTCTCTTTTTAGATTTAAGAGATATGTGGAGAGATTTTTAGTCAGAACAAAGTGTACTGTTGATTTGTTACTGTAGTACCGTATTGTAATTGCGGCAGAGTGCTTATACAAATGCCAAAAATCGTCATCATCATCATCATCTTCATTTCAGACTGAGGCTGAATTGAAAGCAGAACACGTGTAGTTCTGTGATTCTGTCTCATAGCAACCTAATAGAAAACAGTTTGAAAGACTATGAGACGGTTTCTTCCAGAAAAAAGGGTCCTCACAATTCAACTGCGGTTTGAAAAATGTCACAACCACCAGTGATGCTTAAATATATCCATTATATTAAGCAAATTATGCTGCTGTTCTGGGAAAAAATGTTTTACCGTATCTTAATTTGCATGACCGCCACTTTTGGGGCAACGGTTAGACTCTTCCTGTTTGCACGCAGAAGTGATTTCGAATATCGCTAGGAATGTTATTTTGTCAAGGTTGTCTATTTGTCTGATAGAATATTATATCCAAGGCTGGCTCTGACAAGCAAGGTCCAAGTTGTGCGCCTCCTAATTGATCCAAATTACGCAAGGGGGGCGCAGCATTTACATGTACATTCAAATGACATAATTTAATTTATTGATCTATATTTAGGAGACCAATCAAGATAATGTAATTGCTGACGTTTTACACCCCTATCGACACTGTTCACACAGTTTAGGAATGCGAGCTGCTTCGACCCTTACCTGTCAGGGCCAATCCGGGCTGAGAAGATACAATGTCTTAGCAAGAATATGAAGGTACTCGATGACAATTCTCCCCAAACACAACACGAAACAAACTCATGTCTCCTGCGAGCGATGGCGAAGGGCCTAGCTGCTATACCAAAGACGCCGACACTTTGTAAACGTACCTGCATTTTGAAAAATTAAAAAACCCCAACTACATACGTTTGTAAAAAACTTTACTTGTCTTCTTTTATTCCTCTTGTAGCGCACATTTTAAACTCAATTGCTATCATGGGTAAGAAAGTCTTGATCGTCTTGACCAGCGCAGACAAGATTGTGCCCGCCGACAAACCCACAGGCTGGTACTTACCTGAGCTTGCTCACCCTTACAAGGTTCTGGTGGGCGCCGGCTTCAAGGATATTGACATCATCAGTCCGAAAGGAGGAGTAGCGCCTCTGGTGAGTTTTGGTTGAAGGGTAAAAAGTAGTGTTGTCATCTGAAGAACAAAAGCATACATAAAGCGCACAGAAGACCTTAGTTCGATTCTTGTGGAGAGAAAGTTTTTATGGAGTATCTCTGTCTCTCTTGAGTTTCATCTTGAGTTTTATCTCGAGTTAGCCCTGACAGGCGGTATTTCTGTGGGAGCGTGCGTGAAACATCTACATTAAAAAAAAAAAAAATTATTTTATCACTGTCTGCTTGCTAGCTGGCGTTAGTTTTCCAAAGCGCTAAACGTTCTTTGCGTTCTCAGACTACGATGCAATCAGATTCCGTAATCCATTAGCATGGTTCCACTGAGTACTTTTCAACACAATGTTTCAATCACCTTTCGGGGAGGGGGGGGGCACCATAAGCTCTGTCAGTGTCATGCATGACTTCGCTGCAGATGTCTCTGGTTTATTTGGAGAGTTTCAAGGCTCTCCACTGGCTTAGTTTGGCCTTACTGGAGATACACTATAACTGAAAGGTCCTGAGCTTGAAAAACAAACAAACCTATTTGTCTTGAAAATGGTATTTAACCACCAAGGGATCTTTAACGTGTGCAACGTGCACACGGGCCCTCCGAGATTTTTTGTCCTTGTCCGAGAAGGCTAGGTGTAGATCTAGATTTTTCCTACCAAAAGATCAGGGGTGTGGCTGAAAGACAGCAGAAGAGTGGGGGCAGAAAGAGGAGACGAAAGCAGACAACAGAACATTGCTAGAGAGCAGGAAAGGAGGTGAAAGGAGACACATTTAGAGAAGAATTTTTTTTATGTCATCACCCGGATTCGAACCCGGGACCTTTGAATGAGAGGCCAACACTTTAACCTCTAGGCCACGAGAGCCCCCTGGTTTTGCTCTTAACAGCGCGTAAAAATCAATCCGTTTTCAGCTATGTCCCCATTTTGTAGCATGACGCGCAATTCGCTGTTGGAGCTATAGAAAGGTGAGCAGAATAAGCCTGATTCCCTGTAAATACTTCTCTGTTGACACCCACCTCTTGGCGCTCCTATGACCTTATGCTGTTGCGAGCGCCGTAACACCTCTACTGAAAATATACAAAATAAATTCATTTTGAATGAAATATATCGGTTCCAAATTACAACATTGTTGTATACATTTTGTACGAGATATTCAGAAAAAAAAGTTCATTATTAGTCGACTTGGTGGCTAGTGGGTATGAAAACTGGTTACTAATAGTCATAATTGTGTGGAATTCAGGCTGTGCTTTTATATCGAGAAAAAAGGATAGTTGGGTCAGAGTAAATTGTCAGATTTGATAAGATATGATTATTGGGGAAATAGTGAGACTTCGTTGAATTGATCCAGCTCTTCTCGTGTCTCTTATGCTGTGCTATGTCGATGTGCTTGAATCCCATTTGTTGCTCTACACCATCTGCTGTCAATGCGCGCAGTCTTCTAGCAACAACCAAAAATACTGTGAATTCCCGGTGCATTCCATAATTAAAATATCGCATACCACCAGAGAATGTACGTATTCAGTCCTCTCAATTCCCTCAAAGGTTTATTAATACAGGCTGAGAAAAATCATCCTCTCCTTAAAGTATTTAAATATTGAAAAGAGTACTGCACAATAAAAACAATTTACATTGCATCGAGTAATGTGTTAACTTTAAGCAAGCCGTCAATACATCTGTTTGTTCCTCCAGGATCCTGGCAGCGCTGAAGCTTTCAAGGAGGACAGCGTTTGCAACTGGTTTCTGGCCGACGCCACAGCCAAGGGTCTCGTCGCGAATACGAAGACACCCGCCCAGGTGAAATCCAGGTAAGACAAAACGGCACATGCCCCATCTTAGTAGTGGCGTCGGTGATCTGGTGGTTCGGCTGTTGGGCTTGCAACTGAAAGGTTGTGGATTTGAACACCCTTCAAGAGCCCGACATTGTGTCCTTCGGAAAGACACTTTAAACTAATTTTCCTCTATTCACCTAATTGGGAATGCCTACTGAAATTCGGCTATAGACGGTGAAAAATCTTGTCAGTTTATTAATGTTTGAGCAGTTCATTAGCTCATTGGACTGCATGCTTCCAGGTAAGCCGAGGTTGTTTCTAAGTGTTATTTTACTTTTATATAAGGACCGCTACTTCTGCCACTACCGTCGTTTATCTCATTCGTAGGTTTTAGTGGTTGAGAGGATGGAGAATGCAGGTTAACAAGAAATGTGAGGTAATGTCAGATAAGGTTTTCTTTACAGGTGGTCATTAGGGCGTGCTCTTGAGTAGGCTACAGTTAGTGAATGCTCTTGTTGGTTCCACTTTTCTCACATATTTTAGCGCCACTATGTCATCTGTCCCAGAGCAAAACACGATAACCCCAGATCTATCTAAAAAAAAAACAGGGGTCGGCAAGTAATGTGCATATTGTTGGTTTCTGATTATGCATATTATTCATGCATGTATGTATTAATGTATTTGTCTATTTATGTACACCATTGAAAAACAAATATAATCAGAGACTCAACAAGGTGAAATTTTTAGTATATATTCTGGCGAGATATGATCGTCTAAGTTGCATTTTTGGCACACTACAACCTATGAAAAAACTATTTTTCTACCTCCTAGTTCCGACTTCTCTCAACCCCGCCCTTTTTCACAGTGACTACTCTGCCGTGCTGTACCC